GACTTGATAAGGGTCCAGGACTTGATGAGGGTCCTAGACTTGATAAGGGTCCAGGACTTGATAAGGGTCCAGGACTTGATAAGGGTCCAGGACTTGATGAGGGTCCAGGACTTGATGAAGGTCCTAGACTTGATAAGGGTCCAGGACTTGATAAGGGTCCAGGACTTGATGAAGGTCCTAGACTTGATAAGGGTCCAGGACTTGATGAAGGTCCTAGACTTGATAAGGGTCCAGGACTTGATGAGGGTCCAGGACTTGATGAGGGTCCAGGACTTGATGAGGGTCCTAGACTTGATGAGGGTCCTAGACTTGATAAGGGTCCAGGACTTGATGAGGGTCCAGGACTTGATAAGGGTCCAGGACTTGATAAGGTCCAGGACTTAATGAGGGTCCAGGACTTGATGAGGGTCCAGGACTTGATAAGGGTCCAGGACTTGATAAGGGTCCAGGACTTGATAAGGGTCCAGGACTTGATAAGGTCCTAGACTTGATAAGGGTCCAGGACTTGATGAGGGTCCTAGACTTGATAAGGGTCCAGGACTTGATAAGGGTCCAGGACTTGATAAGGTCCAGGACTTAATGAAGGTCCAAGACTTAATAAGGGTCCAGGACTTGATGAGGGTCCTAGACTTGATAAGGGTCCAGGACTTGATAAGGGTCCAGGACTTGATAAGGTCCTAGACTTGATAAGGGTCCAGGACTTGATGAGGGTCCTAGACGTGATAAGGGTCCAGGACTTGATAAGGGTCCAGGACTTGATAAGGTCCAGGACTTAATGAAGGTCCAAGACTTGATAAGGGTCCAGGACTTGATGAGGGTCCTAGACTTGATAAGGGTCCAGGACTTGATAAGGGTCCAGGACTTGATAAGGTCCAGGACTTAATGAAGGTCCAAGACTTGATAAGGGTCCAAGACTTGATGAAGATCCAGGACTTGATGAAGGTCCAAGACTTGATAAGAGTCCAAGGAACGACAGAAACGTTCATGTTATATATCTCTTAGCTGGGTTATATGTTTCAGACCCGTTATTGTGACGTGTTCTCCCCATCCACACTACCTTTCCTTCATGGTTCCACTGTCAATACCAGCCTGTCCCTACGGTCCATTTTTTGTCCCCCATGGGTCTGGACCTATTGCCTTTTCCTTCCTGTGCTCCAGATCTGCTTCCCTTCTCTCCCCTCTGGCCAGATCTGCCTTCCTCCCCCTCTCTATCTGTGGCATAGAGCTAGCTTCCTCCCTCTCTGCTCTACCACACACTTTGGTACACAACTCCATTCACCTCAACACCCAAAAAGAAATTCCATCTCTTTAACATCCCCTCAACAATGAGGTAGAAACGTTCCATTCACTAAAATCAGCGCCGATTATAACTCAGTCCTCCGACGTCCCTAGCAGTTGTCATGCCAACCAAGACAGCCATCTTGGCCTCGAGTACAGCAGGAGACAGAGAACTCGGCCTTCGTGATGACTACGAACACATCTCAACAGCTCGTACTGGAGCTGCCTCACGAGAACTCTGCCAATGGGCTACGCTAATGAGAAAACCCGTCAGACTCCCACGAGAGCTTTTCATCTAAGAAAAGCCATTCAGGCGAAGGCTAATATTGAAATAAGTTGTTGTTTACAAGGGAATAACGCCTGCTATCCTGTCTTTCCTATCGAAAAAGAGCTTAAAGTGCGCTTGATTCTGAAGACTTTCGACCCTCGAATACATTACTGAAGCTTCTCCAAGCTTGAATTAACGCTTAAATTTAGTACAGACTGAATCTCCTCTGAGGAGAGCGCCATCGCGGCCACCAGAGGCCCATCGCGGACAACACAGTTAACTAGAGGTCTCAATGATCTAAAAAACAGGATTTTCCTTGAGGCAAATGACCACACAAGAGCCCTCGTAGACAGAGGTGGGACCGTCCATTGACGCCAAGACGCCTGGTAGATAGATACCACTGTCCAAAATGCCTTCAGAGAAGATACTACTGACCAAAATGCCTTCAGAAAAGATACTACTGACCAAAATGCCTTCAGAAAAGTTACTACTGTCCAAAATGCCTTCAGAAAAGATACTACTGTCTAACACGCCATCAGGATAGATACTATTGTCCACAATTACCCCTCATGACAGATAATACTGCCCCAAAGACTCCTGCAGGATAGATAACACTGTCCAAGACTCCTGCAGGATAGATAACACTGTCCAAGACTCCTGCAGGATAGATAACACTGTCCAAGACTCCTGCAGGATAGATAACACTGTCCAAGACTCCTGCAGGATAGATAACACTGTCCAAGACTCCTGCAGGATAGATAACACTGTCCAAGACTCCTGCAGGATAGATAACACTGTCCAAGACTCCTGCAGGATAGATAACACTGTCCAAGACTCCTGCAGGATAGATAACACTGTCCAAGACTCCTGCAGGATAGATAACACTATCCAACAAGCCTACAGGATAGATAACACTGTCCAAGACTCCTGCAGGATAGATAACACTGTCCAAGACTCCTGCAGGATAGATAACACTGTCCAAGACTCCTGCAGGATAGATAACACTATCCAACAAGCCTACAGGATAGATATATAACTACTCAACGCTCCCGGAGGCAAATGAAATAAAATCTCCAGATACTGAGCCAAAGTTCACGAGCACTTTGGCTCAGTATCTGGAGATTTTATTCTCCAGATAAAGTTCCTGGAACAGTGCTCCAAAGTTCACGAGCACTTTACAAAAATATACAACATGCCAACAGTCGAATGATTACATCAGAGAGATATTAATCATTTATCTTTATACAGAGAAGTGAAATAGACTCTAACAGTGACTCGAGACGCCTGTAGCAGTGCTCTTCACCGCACACACATTCCTTCAGCAAACTGAACTCGTTTTAAGAGAGACGATTGACTTAAACCCGTTGACCCAGTCATCTGAGACCATGTACTTCATTCCACTTGGATCCAATCAGTTGGCAATCAGGCAGTGGGGTACCCACAAAAGAGAGGCATTTTTACGTTATCAAGGGAGAGCTTCGAACCAGGATACTGCTAGATTGGTGAATATGAGTAGCAATCTCAGTGTCCTGTGTGGCAGTGAATATGAGCACCACCTCACTGTCCTGTGTGGCAGTGAATATGAGCACCACCTCACTATCCTGTGTGGCAGTGAATATGAGCACCACCTCACTGTCCTGTGTGGCAGTGAATATGAGCACCACCTCACTGTCCTGTGTGGCAGTGAATATGAGCAGCACCTCACTGTCCTGTGTGGCAGTGAATATGAGTAGCATCTCACTGTCCTGTGTGGCAGTGAATATGAGCAGCAATCTCACTGTCCTGTGTAGCAGTGAATATGAGCAGCAATCTCACTGTCCTGTGTGGCAGTGAATATGAGCAGCATCCTCAGTGTCCTGTGTGGCAGTGAATATGAGCAGCAATCTCACTGTCCTGTGTGACAGTGAATATGAGCAGCATCCTCAGTGTCCTGTGTGGCAGTGAATATGAGCAGCATCCTCAGTGTCCTGTGTGGCAGTGAATATGAGCAGCAATCTCACTGTCCTGTGTGACAGTGAATATGAGCAGCATCCTCAGTGTCCTGTGTGGCAGTGAATATGAGCACCACCTCACTGTCCTGTGTGGCAGTGAATATGAGCACCACCTCACTGTCCTGTGTGGCAGTGAATATGAGCACCACCTCACTGTCCTGTGTGGCAGTGAATATGAGCACCACCTCACTGTCCTGTGTGGCAGTGAATATGAGCACCACCTCACTGTCCTGTGTGGCAGTGAATATGAGCAGCACCTCACTGTCCTGTGTGGCAGTGAATATGAGCAGCACCTCACTGTCCTGTGTGGCAGTGAATATGAGTAGCATCTCACTGTCCTGTGTGGCAGTGAATATGAGTAGCACCTCACTGTCTTGTGTGGCAGTGAATATGAGCACCACCTCACTGTCTTGTGTGTCAGTGAATATGAGCAGCACCTCACTGTCCTGTGTGACAGTGAATATGAGCACCACCTCACTGTCTTGTGTGTCAGTGAATATGAGCAGCACCTCACTGCAAGAAGACCTAACTGAATTACTCCGATTAAGAGAAAAACAGTTATTTAACTTTGTTAATATCAGCGGCTATACAGACTTAGGCTTCCTCTTATGTCTGTGTCTGATACTTGGAGGGTCTTTATGTTCTCCCCCTCTCTCTCTCTCTCTCTCTCTCTCTCTCTCTCTCTCTCTCTCTCTCTCTCTCTCTCTCTCTCTGCCTCTGCCTTCCTCCCTCCATTTAAAATATTATCGTTTCATTCTCTTATCACCCTGGCTTGCAATGTGTCGTAGCCTGCTGACTGATTCACAGCTTACATAGCTCACTCCACTGAAATACTGCCTCTGTGCATGATTGGGGCATTACATGCGCTTGCATGTTGCCTCAGCATTTGCAGAGTAAGCTGCTGCTGCTGCTGCTGCTGCTGCTGCTGCTGCTGCTGCTGCTGCTGCTGCACGGGGGCCCCCAACACATGTCTGTTTGTCAAACCTCTTATCTTCTTGCCCAACACCTTTCTGCTTGCAGCGTGCAAGACGTACCCAGAGGAAGAGCCTCTCTCTCTCTCTCTCTCTCTCTCTCTCTCTCTCTCTCTCTCTCTCTCTCTCTCTCTCTCTCAACCCCCACCCCACACACACACACACACACACACACACACACACACACACACACACACACACACACACACACGCGCGCACAAGCACAACTAGGTGAGTACAAGGGGGTCTCGCTGCCAGCTCTGAATATGATCATTTGGGTTTGAAAATGATAATTTAAATGTTCGTACCCTCAGTGAAAATGATTTAACAATTCATCGTCAGATTTAATATATTGACAGATGAGGAGTTGTTTATGTGTAGAAAAATCATCAGAAACAGCCTAACAGTTGGCGTCAATCACCGGAAGTATCCCAACAGACGTTCCAATCACTGGGAGTATCCCAACAGATGTCCCAATCACTGGGAGTACCTATGAGACGTTCCAATCACCGGAAGTACCCCAAGAGACGTCCCAATCACTGGGAGTATCCCAAGAGACGTCCCAATCACTGGAAGTACCCTAAGAGACGTCCCAATCAACGGAAGGACCCCAAGAGACGTCCCAATCACTGGAAGTACCCTAAGAGACGTCCCAATCACCGGAAGGACCCCAAGAGACGTCCCAATCACTGGAAGTACCCCAAGAGACGTCCCAATCACTGGAAGTACCCCAAGAGACGTCCCAATCATCGGAAGGACCCCAAGAGACGTCCCAATCATCGGAAGGACCCCAAGAGACGTCCCAATCACCGGAAGTACCCCAAGAGACGTCCCAATCACCGGAAGGACCCCAACAGATATTCCAGCTAAAGTGGTAAGGGTTGCCGGAAATATTAGTAACCCTATACAGTTAGCAGCACCGGACTGGTACGCCAAGATACCTTAAAAAGCCATATCTGTAGTGACCAGCTGTGGTGTGTACTGAGGCGAGGCAAGTGTATCGGTCCCAGATTGATGAAGCCACCCTAAGAGGTGGCACGGGCATGAATAGCCCCGTAAGTGGTAACATTTTTGTTCAGAAAATCTATACAAGGCCGGTCCTGCCTTGTGTGGTCAACAGTGGTCACTATAACTTGCTGTGGATGCAGTGCTTATGATGTGCAGGACCTGTCTGTCTGTCTGTCTGTCTGTCTGTCTGTCTGTCTGTCTGTCTGTCTGTCTGTCTGTCTGTCTGTCTCACAGTTTTTATTTATGAGGCAGTTTCAAATATTTTGAGCAGTCTATTGTGTGTGTGTGTGTGTGTGTGTGTGTGTGTGTGTGTGTGTGTGTGTGTGTGTGTGTGTGTGTGTGTGTGTGTGTGTGTGTGTGTGTACTCACCTAATTGTGCTTGAGGGGGGGTTGAGCTTTGGCTCTTTGGTCCCGCCTCTCAACCGTCAATCAACAGGTAGATTGGTAGAACAGGTGTGTGTGTGTGTGTGTGTGTGTGTGTGTGTGTGTGTGTGTGTGTGTGTGTGTGTGTTGAAGCATGATCAAAGTACAAGGAATGCCGCATGCCGCTCCAATTCCAAACAATTCCTGGAACATCCACCCGGATTCCAGGATTCCAGTGAGTCAACAATATATTGGAAAACAGCCGTGATGGGAATAGAAGAAGAATAAGAAGAGAAAGAGAAAGAGGAGGTGGAGGAGAAGGAGGAGGAAAAGGAGGAGGAGGAGGAGGAAGATGTGCTTACGTCATTTGTTTAATTTCAAGATGGAGATAGAGAGGGAATATAGAGAGGGAATATAGAGAGGTACAGGTAATGGGGAAAGTTTAGAAATGGGGATATATAGCATGAATTATAATAGCCGACGACCCCCCTCCCCCCCTCCCCCACAACAAACCCCTCACCCCCCCCCCCCACCATTCCCCATTCCTCAAATTCCTTCCCCATACTCCTCCCCCCATAGGCTACCAGGCCTGGGTCACCAGGTACAGATATCTGCGCAGAGTACCTCATGGTATCTGGTTCGATACCCCGAGTGTTGCCTCTGCGTGTCTACAGAGAGGGGGAAGGGAGCAGGGGGTACATGGGGGGAAGGGGGCAGGGGGTACATGGGGGGAAGGAGGCAGGGGGTACATGGGAGGAAGGGGGCAGGGGGGTACATGGGAGGAAGGGGGCAGGGGGGTACATGGGGGGAAGGGGGCAGGGGGGTACATGGGAGGAAGGGGGCAGGGGGTACATGGGGGGAAGGGGGCAGGGGGGTACATGGGAGGGAGGGGACAGGGAGGGGACAGGGAGGAGACTAAGGAGGCAAGAGACAGTGTGACGCCTCAGACATGTTCGCTATCTTCCTCTTCCAAGAAATTCTGTTAATAGGATTCAGTTTCTTCAGCCTTTCCTTGCACACCAAACCTTTCAGTTCTGGGACCTGTCATTGTGTGACCGGTAGACACTAACACCCCTGTACAAGCGACAGGATGAACAACCCAGCGGGTTTTCTTCCTTTTGGGGAGTGTTGTACATGCTGCTATGGCGGTGTGTCCGCTCACAAGATGAGTACCACTGCCCAACAAACTCGCCCCTCGGGGCAAAATTTAAAAATTTACTACCACCCCTCCTACCACCACCACTCTCACTACCACCACTCTCACCACCAGTGTTGCTGACCAAGAGAGTGATCCAGGAACTACCACCTGCACTGCAGTATAACCAAAGTTTAAATCGATATCTTTTTACACCCCCCTCCTCCTTCCTCCCTAGATATACACACCACGTGGAAGAGGAGGTATGGAAGAGAGGGTGAGGGAGAGAGAGAGAGAGGGGAAAGGGAGCGGCCGTGAAGCGTGAAGAACAAAAGGTCATAGAGCAGAGCGAAAGAATAGAAAGAAAGAAAGAAAGAAAGAGGAGCAGTCTCAGAACGAAGCTCCAACGAATCACTGACATAACACTCTTTTTTTTCCCTCCAACGTCGTGAAGATAACTATCCCTAACAGACTTATCAGTCTGCCTGGGAGTGGGTCCTCAGATGCTTCGACTCCACTTCGGGATCACCGCAAATCTATGGGTCGCTCTGGTGTGCGGTCCTCGAAGGAGACGAAGACTCGGGTACTCGCGGAGCTTCGAAGTCGAGATCGAGTACTCATTGCGTGCCGTCAAATAACCAAGTCTGTACCCTTGGATACAGACTTGGAGAACGAGTCTGTACCCTTGGATACAGACTTGGAGAACGAGTCTGTACGCTTGGATACAGACTTGGAGAACGAGTCTGTACCCTTGGATACAGACTTGGAGAACGAGTCTGTACGCTTGGATACAGACTTAGAGAACGAGTCTGTACGCTTGGATACACACTTAGAGAACGAGTCTGTACGCTTGGATACAGACTTGGAGAACGAGTCTGTACGCTTACATACAGACTTAAGTCACCTCATTCCTTTATTATGCACCCCATACCCATCCCGTGGGCGGTGGTGGAGAAGGTTACAGAAGCACATATGAGATTCAGAAACTGTACCCCCCCCCCCATTGTTCGTTTAGCTGAGTAAATGACTTCGCTGGTGCCAATCTATAAGGATCAAATAAGCAACATTACCGATCGTGCAACTGCATAAGTTTGACAAGTTGACTCGAAGTTCAGTCTGGGACAACTTGCAAATGTTAATTAATTTTTATTTAAGTTAATTTAAGTTAATTTTAAGTTTTATTTAAGTTAATTTAAGTTAATTAATAAAAGTTAATTTTCGCATTAACGAGTCGTTGTTACTTAACAACGACTCGTTAATGCGAAATTTTGGTTATGTTACCAATACATATATATCCTATTAAATCTGTCCCAATTTTTATGGCGTAATAGGTGAGCTTTGATATCAATTCGGACAGTTAAAAGAAAATTTATTTTGTATAATAATGATATATTTTATGTTCTATTGTTGTTTATAGACATTAATTTGTATAACTTTACTTATCTTTACTTATTTTTTTACTTATCAGAAGATCAAGCAGCCTGTGACTGGATCAGCACGTGTGATATGCAGAAGTTGGGAAGCGTATTTAATTAATGATATTGTGACTTTTTTGTGCAATACGTTTGCATTAAACCAGTATAGCATCAAGCTAAGATAATCAGCTTTCTATTCCAATTAGACTTGTTTGGGTTAAATCTAACACAGCTAAATTATCCCAAAATATAATAATAATTTATAATAATTCATTATATAATTCATTGTGTCGGGGGGACAGGAAGCCTGAGTGTATGTATACACGTTAGGCTTTGATCAAGGTCCCCTCCCCCTCTACCCCCCCCCCCCCCCAAAGGTCGAATTACTGACTCCGCCCAGCATGTAACACCACAACCAGCTAACTAACGCCTGAGTACCAACTTCCTGCTAGGTGAACAGCGCCATTAGGCGAAAGAAAATGTGCCCCAACCCATTTCCCGGAATTCTCGCCCGTGCGCGAGAACGAATCCAACTGAACTACGGAGACCCCCCTCAAGAGTGCATAAGCAGACTCGAGATTGATATCATCGATGCAATTGGCTGATTCGTGATGAATAGATGGTAAATAGTCACTATAATTGGCTGAATGCTTGTTACGCTGAGGAGACGTGTCTTGTATCCAGGGAACACTGTACGCGCTAATGGGGTGTTTTGCAAGACGGAAGGGGGGGGGGGTACATGGGAGAGGGGGAGGAGGGAGGGGGGAGGGGGGTTATGGGTTAATGGGAAGGTGGGGGGGGGATGGAATGAGGGGGAGGGGATTGTGTTTACAATGTACTGAGAGCCGCATCAGGTGTTGGGGTCAGAAAGCCTGCTGTTGCCATGGTCTCTCTCTCTCTCTCTCTCTCTCTCTCTCTCTCTCTCTCTCTCTCTCTCTCTCTCTCTCTCTCTCTCTCTCTCTCTCTCTCTCTCTCTCTCTTCACTGCTTCCTGCTATCGCTAATCTATCCCCCCCACCTCCCCCCGATGCATTTTTTAAAGCATCGACATGCAACCCTCTTCAGTGCTGTGGGTATCTACCATCTATACGGCCTTGAAGTATGGCTATCTACCATCCACGACCTTAAAGTGTGGGTATCTACCATCTACGACCTTGAAGTATGGGTACTATCTACCATCCACGACCTTAAAGTGTGGGTATCTACCATCTATACGGCCTTGAAGTATGGCTATCTACCATCCACGACCTTAAAGTGTGGGTATCTACCATCCACGACCTTAAAGTGTGGGTATCTACCATCTACGACCTTGAAGTATGGGTACTATCTACCATCCACGACCTTGAAGTGTGGGTATCTACCATCTATACGACCTTGTTGTGTGGGTATCTACCATCTATACGACCTTGAAGTATGGCTATCTACCATCTACGACCCAACACCATGGGGCACCCTGAAGCCCACAACCCGATCACCACAACTACCCAAGTGCCCAATCGTCTTAGAATTACAAAAATAAAGCAAAATAGCATGTTTGTTTACTGTGATATTCGTAAGGAATGTAAAATGTTGATAAGGAGAAAAAATGAGATGGAGGATGAGGATGATGAGGATGATGAGGTGATAAGGATAAGGGGAAAGGAGGAGGGAAGCGAATGAGAAGAGCTTAAGAACGAAGATAAGACAGAAAAAGGACATCATCAAAGATAAAAGTGTGAAAGAATAGTGAATATGAGGAGGAATAATGAGGTGAAAGGTTGAGCAACGGAGCCTGATAACCGGCCTGACCCAGATATCCGGCCACCATCTGGGGCCCTTGAATGGCCTCTCCCCACCAGTAATCTCTGGCAAAAAACTGTGTCACAAATAAGAATCTCTATCATGATTACAGAGATTTTTTTATTTCATCTGAGCATCCCACAAGGATGGGACATCTCTCACGGTACAGGG